ACGGCGCATCAATAAGTGGCATCATTCCAAGTGGCACCTTCGTCACTCTGCCTTTCGGGAAAGTCCTCTGGCACACGTCACAAGAGCGACAATACCTCGTCACGTCAGACTGTGCTCCCGGCCAATAGAATTCTGCCATGATCCTGTCACTAGTTCGTTTGGCTCCCAAATGGCCTGCCATCATAGAATCATGAGCAAGTCCCATAACCTTCTGCCGGTACGTCGAGGGAACGACGAGTTGCTTGAAAATCCGTCCCTGCTGCGTAGATGGACTCTTATACTCCCTGTATACCAGACCATTCCGTGTGAAGAAATGTGGTTTCCCACCATCACGTCTCTCCTTAACTTCTCCCGATACCGCCATCTCACGAATCTTAGCCAACGTTCCATCTGATATCTGGGCATCCTTGAAATCTATGGGATTTATTTCTTGAAACACCTTGGGAACCTTTAGTGGTCTGTATGGCGTCTCTTCCGCCGCCTTCTGTGCCCTGGTCTGTACTGCACTAACCTGTTCCTCAAGGTTCCACTTCGGATTCGGATCTCCAGGAGATCTAATACCATGTATGTTTCCCAAAATGAGGTCATAAATTGGAGTGTCCATGCACCAAGCCATAACAGTTCCTTGATAGTATGGCGTATCAACGACAACATTCGCTGTATCAACTTTCAACTTACTACCATCTGCCAAGGTACACATCTTGGTATCACCAGTGAAATCTTCTGCGTCCACAAGACTCCTTCTGATAACGACTCCACTACAACCTGTGTCACGCAACACTGTGACAACATGCTTGCCGATAAGACCTCTCACCACAGGCATACCAGAATCCAACACAGGCGCACTACATGAAATGCTGAGCTGATCTGGATCTCGTTCATCGTTGTCATCTTCACTTGAACTAAGAGCTCCACATGAAGGCGGGTTACCCGTCTTCTTGCCGGATGAACGATGCTTGCGGATCCCTTCTATTTGTGCTGCCTCTTGTGCATCAGAGTCTGCCACTAATCCGACACGTGATTGCTTCTTCTTGGTACTGGCTGGACAATTGTAGGAAAGATGATCCGTCTTCTTGCAGATATAACACGTCTTTCCTCCTAAATTACTACCACTAATGACCTTACCTTTAGGCTCATCCCTTTTACCAACTGACTTTGTGAAGTCCCCTGGCGAACGGTTTCCCTGATACTGCTTATGTCCAGTATGTTTTGCCTTAACAAGGTTCGAAGGGTTGCCTCTGGCGTCAGCAAATTGATCTGCTAGCTTCGCCATTTCTGCCATGGACTTTGGAATGCGTTCCTTCAGAAACAGCCTAAGCTCACTTCCACAAATCTGCAAAAATTGGTCCCGAAGCATTAAGTCCTTTAACCCGTCGTAGGTCTTCTCAGCTTTCGCCAACTCCAACCATCTGACAAAGTAGTTGTCCAACCTTACAGAAAACTGAGTAAGCGTTTCACCTGAGTCAGGCCTACCAGTCCGGAAACGTTGTCGAAACCCTTCCTCGGTCATCTCAAACCGCTTAAGTAAAGCCTCTTTCAGAGTATCGTAGTTGAGTGACTTTTCCACGGGTAGTCGACTGAAGACGTCTAAGGCATTACCCTTGAGAAGAGCACTGAGGTTAGTCGCCCACTGACTATCTCGATCCCAGTGTTGAGCTATAGCATACCGCTCAAACCGCTGCAAATAACTGTCAATGTTGTCCTTCCCTTCTTCGTAAGGAGGCAGTTTAGGACCCTTCACTAAACCATGGGACATCTTCTGGTCAGCACTTCCTGTAGGATTAGCACCTTGGGTTTTCTGATATTCCAATAACTCTATCTTCACAGCACGTTCCTCACGCTCCTTCTCCAGTGACAACTGTAACGCCATTTCATCCCTCTTCCCCTTCAATAGAACTAGCTGGTGCTGTCTCTCAGCTTCGGTTCGCTTTTCCTCTCTATCAAGCTTCCTCTCTTCTCTCTCTCTGTTTTGTTCATCAAGAATAAAATCACGGAGCTCTGACCCCTGTAGTCCAAGAGCACTCCCAGTTTTAAGTAATTCTTGAAGTGACGACATCATGCAAGTGGGTACAATGGAAACAACAAGATACATGTACAACAAAGCAACATCAGCAACAATTTGTGTCGTACAGCAAAGTAATGCTACAAATATTACTACTGAACTCACCTCGGATGAACCAGCACAAATACAGGTTGCTATAACGCCAAATCAACAGTGAGAGGCTGAAATCTGTTGTGTTCTAAACGAATCCTAGTTAAATTCAAATTACTAATATAGTGCAAAATGAGCCATTCTACTTACCATGCAAAGTCGCCTCATCCCACCGCTGCCACCAAAAAGTGTAACCTGGACGAGCGCGACTCGCATAGAATGGCACAAACACATAATATACAATATATACAAGTTTAATACACTATATACACATTATAAATTGTACACACAAATGTAAATATGTACAACTCACTCACTCATTCAAAACACACACACTTTAATAATTACATATGAAACAGTATAGTCTGTCCTCAACGAATCTGGAAAGAGGTCTGGAAACGTCTCTGGACCGACTAACAACCAGCAATGTTCACAGCATCGAACAGTTGCCCATAGGAACGTCTGATGACAAATGTCCAACGGAATTCATAATTAGAGCACAACTGTCCACACAGCATAGCACCTGCCCACACAGGATATCAGAACATCTGTCCACACAGGACATCATAGCATCTGACCACACAGGATATTAGAACATCTGCACGACCATATAGGACATCATAGCATCTGCTCACACAGGACATCATAGCATCTGTCCACACAGGACATCATAGCATCTGTCCACACAGGATATTAGAACATCTGCACGACCATATAGGACATCATAGCATCTGCTCACACAGGACATCATAGCATCTGTCCACACAGGACATCATAGCATCTGTCCACACAGGACATCATAGCATCTGTCCACACAGGACACATAGCATCTGACACAGTTGGCGGCTGTCCTGGCCCAATAACTCTGTATTCTATATATGTATGTATTCTGACTGTGTCACATTCGTTCCCGCCATCAACATGGGTAGAACTGCAATAACACAAGACTACGTCTGACTATGCTGACTATATAGTCTATAATGATTCATAAATATTTATACACAGTATTTCTTCTATTTCAACTATTATTTGTGTATATACATTCATCTGCCTACATACAGTAATTGATATGAATCTATTCACTAATTCTAGCCTGAATTCCATGTAATTCATTGACATATTGACAAGTTTCGCTTATATTTATTAAATACAAACTAAATTCATATAACAGTTGATATCTTATAGCTATAATAGAGATATATTGAACTGTACTCATATAGCGTTATAAGCATATACATTTATCGATAAATATTCGCCTCAAATATCAAACACAACAGATTTCGGGCATATAATTGCAATATAAAGGCACAAGAAATGTTTCTTTTGCGTACTGAGAGTACTTGGCGACAATAACACTGGGTTTTCAGGGTCGTCAGATACGGGCACCAGTGGTCGCTGGTTCACTTATAGCACAAGCTTCGACTAGAAAAGTCGTAAGCACTTCATGCGTGAGGTGTTTAGTGTCAGTATTACGCAACATGTTGTCCAGAATCCTTCTAACGGTACCAATAAGCCGTTCCCAAGATCCGCCCATATGGGAGGCATATGGAGGATTAAAAGTCCATGTGATGCTTTCCTCTGAAAGAAAGTCTTTTACGGCTTTGTCCTCGACATCAATAACATTCAAGTTAAGTTCCTTAACGGCTCCTACGAAGTTAGATCCTTTGTCCGACCTAATGTGCTTTACCGGTCCTCTGATCGCGATGAATCTCCGCAGTGCGTTAATGAAGGAAGATGTGCTCATCTCCTCTACGACCTCAATATGTATCCCTCTCGATACCATGCAACAGAATATTATAGCCCAACGTTTTGCGTTAGCTTGTCCTCCCCTAGTTTTTCTCGCGCGCACATTCCATGGTCCAAACGTATCCAATCCAATATAAGTGAAAGGCGGACATGGTGTCAAACGATCCTGCGGTAAAGTACACATTTTTTGTTCCACAAACTTTCCTCGGAGTTTCCTGCACACGACACAGTGATGTAAGATAGAGGAAATTAATCGCTTTCCTCCCACTAGCCAATAACCAGAAGAACGTATTTTACCCTCCGTAATATGTCGGCCTTGGTGTTCCGATTTCTCGTGATAATGTCTCACGATTAGAGTAGCCACGTGATGTTTTGCTGGGACAATGATCGGATCCTTTCCAGGTAAGTCAATGTCACTATTCTGAATCCTACCACTAATCCTCAGGAGCCCCTCGTCGTCTAGAAACGGCGACAATTTCAACAAAGAATTGTTCCTGTTTAACGGCAGTCCTTTCTGCAAACAGTCGATTTCCATCGAATAAAACTCTTGTTGAACAACCTTCAGTATGAGGTTCTTTGAATCGTTAGCAAAACGCAACACGTCTGGATTGTCTGTTCCGTTGTGATGACGATGCGTCGTTACCGATCAACGGAAATACTTGGTCTCTATACGAACTTTGCAAATCACTCATGACGTCAACGGGTCCGTTCAACCACACTGACTTTCCAACGTCTTTCGCACGCATTGGCCTAGTCGCACTATCGGCAGGGTTACATTCACTAGAAACGAAACTCCACTGCTGTTTGGAAGATAACTTCAGAATCTTGTCAATCCGATTAGCAACATAAACGAAGAAACGGCGCGTGTCGTTAAATATATACCCTAGTACTACCGGACTGTCGGTATAGTAGTAGGTGGCGTCAAACACAACATCGACGTATTCGGATATAAATAAACCGAGTTCAGTAGCAAGAACAGCCGCGCATAGTTCTAGTCTTGGAATGGTATGTCCGTGGGAAGGCGCTACTTTCGATTTGCCAAGAACGTATCCAACAGAAGCATTTTCCTGTACGTCATAAATTTTCATGTATGCTACTGCGCCTATGGCATCCTTGACGCGTCTGAGAATACGTGTAGTTCACGACGAATTGCCTTTTCCAATGACGAATTGGAGTAACATCTCGAAATTTCTAACTGTTCCAGATCTTTAAGCGAAGACCTCCATTTTTTCCAATCAGAGTTCAAGTCCGGAGGTAAAGGGTCATCCCAGTCAAGATCCTTTGACGATAACACATTTCGCATTAATAGTCTGCCTCCAAGAATAACTGGTGCCACAAAGCCGAGGGGGTCGAATACACTATGTATTGTAGAAAGTACGCCTCGTTTGGTGAACGGTTTCACCTCATCAGAAACACTAAACGTGAACGTATCACAACCGACTTTCCAACGTAGTCCGAGACTCCTATGAACGACATCATCGAAGTCCATATCGCAAATTTCGCTGGTATCCTCTTTTGGAAACTGCTTTAAAACATCAACACTGTTCGACGAGAACTTGTGCAAGTGAATGTTTCCGTTTTGCCGTAATCGAGCTTGAGTGTCTCTCAACAACTGCACTGCGTGACCTTCGTCAGATACAGAGGTCAACCCATCGTCAACGTAAAAGCTCTCTTTGACGAAACAACACACCTCGTCGCACGCGGAAGAATCGATATGGTCGCAAGCAGATTTCCTTAATCCAAGTGTGGCAATACACGGAGAAGACGAGTTGCCAAACACATGCACGCACATACGAAATTCCCTTAGCGGTTGTGTGGGATCATTATCTTGAAACCATAAGAAACGTAGAAAGTTTCTGTCACGCTTGTGCACATAGAAGTTGAAAAACATCTGTTCAACATCGGCCATAATCGCAATTCGTTCCTTCCTGAATTTCATTAACACACCAACCAAATTGTTTATGAGATCCGGACCTGTCATGAGAATGTCATTAAGCGAATGTCCATTAAACTTTGCCGCCAAATCGAACACGACTCGGATTTTGTTGGGTTTTTGGGGATGATAAACCCCGAATATCGGTAGATACCATGCTTCCTCGCCGTCTTGTAACTCGGGAGCTACCTCTGCATGCTCCTTGTCAAAAATGTTTTGCATAAACGCACAAAACTGTTCGCGCTTAGTAGGATTTTTCAGTAACGACTTTCGTAGATTTTCTGCGCGATGCCTTGCCTGATCCATATTGTTTGACAAAGTGGGTCGTTCCTTTTTTAGCGGTAACGGTGCACTCCAATTACCGTACTCGTCCTTAATAAACTCCCCTTCCATGACACGCATGAATTCCTTATCCTGTTGCGAGTAACCAGGTATATCATCGAATTTTGTTCTTTGAAATATGTCCATTCCAATTGGCAACTTATCGGATTTTTCAAACTGAGCCTTGAAGTAATTCGGACACGGATCCATGAGAGTAGGTCTGCCATTCGGTAAAACGACCGTTTTGCTCACATTTATGACCGTAGGTTTTTGAACGAGACCTAGGCACGATTCTCCTACAACTACCCAACCGAATTTTAATTTCTGTGCATATGGTTCACGTTCATGTCCAGTTCGCTGTTCCAACACATGATGCGCCGAAATGAGATCTCTGCCAACGAGAAGCAATATGGGCGTATCGTTTTCATACTCTGGGATAAGATGAGCAATGTCCTGCATGTGACTATAGTGTCGTGCAACTTCCGGTGTAGGTATTTCTTGTTTCACATTCGGAATATGATTGCATTCTGTAATCAACGGTAATTTTAATGAGTATTCCTTGTCCAATGATTCCATTACGTATCCGCTGCCTTGCCTCCCGGTTACCTGAATTTCACCGGCACATGATGATGTACGTATCCGGTTTCCGTAGAATGATCTCCAAAATAATCGAAGAACTCACTTTTGGCCAATGTCCGATTGCTCTGCTCATCTATAATGGCATAAGCACGCAACACATTATTAAGTTGTCCGTCCTTGTAGATATTTACTAACACCGTTTTTGCACACGATTTCCCCACGAAGGGACCGGTTTCACCGCACAACTGTGTACACTTGGAATTTATCTTACGATTGTCTCCCCTGATACTTGTCCTTTCCTCGCCGTGAGACTGACGGGGCTGATATTTGTCATCATGAAACATGGTGCAATGCGATGAACCTTTACACACAGTACAGATTACTTTTTCTGTACAGTCCTTGGCCAAATGTTTGTCCTTACAACACTTAAAGCACACGCCGTGTTTTAAGAGAATTTCCCTCTTTTCGTCCTTGGATTTCGATAGAAACAGGTGGCAACCTGATAACAAATGCTTCACTTCTCTCGCACTGTCATGAAGTGGGCACAAAAATGCTGTAGGCACATTATTAACTTCCGTTTTCTTTGAAAAGACGTATGCATTCCTACTTCCAGTAGACGCAGTACGACGTTGTTCTTTGCTGACGCTAGGAACCGCAGTACCATCGGTGTAATTGAAACTCGGGTTGTTCATTCGCGAGCTCATTTCCTGTATGAACCTCTCGAAAACACTGAATTTCGGATATGTAACATTGTGCTCGGTTTGATATCTGCACGCATAGTCAGTCCATTTGTTCTGTATGAACACGAGTAACTTGCAAACAATTGGGTTTATACCGCTGGACGAATCGTAGTACGCCATTATCGAGCTGAACGCCGTGTTTTCCTTTACTGCCTGAATTTCCGCCAATATGTTCGAAAGATCAAATAATTTCTGACCATCTCGGTTCGTTAAGTTCGGGAATTTGTTTAGCCTTTCCCTCAAAGATAACTCAATTTGCTATGGCGCGCCGTACTTCTCACTGAGCCTAGTCCAGATTTTACACAAGGCTTGGGGTGGGTCGTGTATGTTTGCAGCACGTAGACTTACAGCCTTTTTCGAGATTCTGGCCCCAACCATTTCGATAATAAGTCTAATTGTTCTTGAGGGCTTACATCAAGTTCCTTTACAACATTTAGGAATGACATTTTCCAGACACGATACTCCTCGGGTTTATCAGTAAACTGAGTGAGTCTACCCATAAGCAAGTCTTTCTTTAGCATAAATTTGGTCAAATCATTCAGTCCAGTTACACACTGACCTGGGGTGAATTCTCGAGCCTCAACGTTTAACGGCACTTTATGTGAATAGGGGTCGGATGTTTCATAACCGGTGTTCAAATTTTCGGCTTGACTTTGCACAAATTCAACTGTCCTAGACTTCCTGTGTAACTCCTCATCATCCGACGGTGCTTGTGAACAATGTCTGATAGGGCTACCAGTGTCAATAACGTCATCCATAGCCTTGAGCTCGGCTGCTGCCTCGTCCAGTTCTCTTTGTGATTTTAACAGCTGAAGGGATTTTTGCAATTCGGCCTCTTTCTCAGCAAATTTTAGCCTCACTTTGGCCGCTTCCAATTTCGCTCGTTGTTTCATATATACTGAACTGACCCTGGAGATGTTAGTTATGCTAGAACGCACTGAGGTTTTACTTGTTTTCGACTTTATTGACATAATATCCGAAACGCCGTTTTTATATTCACTTACACTATGCCGAGGTTTTTCCTCGACTACAAACCCCTGTGAAATGTTATCGACCACAGATACAGTTTGAACTGGTTTTATTTTGTTAATAAATGATTGAATTTGGTCCAAAACCGTGTCACACTGTGATTTTAATGTTTCCACAGCTGTCATATGAGATAATAATTCTTCCTGGCCTTGTTCCGTTCTACTTTCTTCCAAATATTTACTGAATTTGGTTGAAACTTGTTCATAGGATTCATATGATTGGGTAATGTCTGATGCCAAGGATTTTAATTCATCCAAGTTCATATTTTCATACTCAATATCAGTTATGAGACAATCTAAATTTCTGTATAAATTTAACAGTCTATGTTTATACTTGCCGACTGTGTCCTCAAATGCCTGACGTGCCTTTTCCGTCATTTTGATGGTTCTTTTTCCCGGGTTTTCAGCCATGAGTTTTTTACTGTGATGTCGAGTGAGTCCAAAGAAATACAAACTAAACGCCTTTAATGAGTTCCTTTATTACATATACAAAGTTCCCAGTTCCTATAGCCATAGTTCACAATCATCACAAACACAGTGTAGGGGTTCTTGGTTGCACCTAGCTTGCGCCCCAACCTGCGGTAAAAAACTGAAAAATACAGAAATTAACCTGTCCTTAGTACATATTTCAACAAAATTAATCAAACTTCAAACGTTTAAACCGTATTAAAGTTACCTCATGGGTCACCTAAGCCTTGCTAAATCCGTAAGTCTGTTTCCTTTGGACTTTCACGTAAACATATCCCATGATGCATTTTTCCACGATGTACAAAGAATGAACTCTGAACCCTGACCTGACTACCAGAGCAGACGGACAATATAAAACTAGCGTTTCACTACAACATCGGCACACACAAATGTACCAATATATCATCATCTTTGACTACATATGTAGACTATAAGAATTGATAAAAAAGATCTTCAAAATAAATGCACAAGACTTTCCCTTTTAGAGTTACAGATATTGCAGAGAGGACTATCTATCATCTTTCCTTTACAAAGCTGTAACTCGCTATTTGTAAACACATCTCCATTTTAAACACGCCGCCATCGAAATTACGATTGTTGCCGAACCACGTCGGAAAGTTCATGACCTGATCTCGCGAGAGTTGAGGTTTCTACTTATAGAGGAAGCACATGCAGATATGTCTACGGTAAGTTTTTGTTTACAAACATTGTTTGCGAAGTCTTGTCGTAGACTTGAGGTATTCCTGTGATAAATATTCAGTTGTTGGGAAATTATTAGAAGGAATAATTAGTTTAGAAACGATACGACGCACAATTATAACGTTAGAATTCAGAACTGGCCTGATGTACGATTGGAAAAAAAGGAAGCGACTGGTGAATGTCTGTACTGTGTCTGCCATGTTTACACACGCGGTATATGCGCATGCGCAATGTCATCGCTACGAGCGGTAATGTATGAATTATTGTGGGTCCCACATTATTTTCCGATTTTTTCAATTTTTATTTAAATTGAAAACAGTCAGTTTTATTTTCTTTAATTAAAGGAAAGTGTTTGTTTTGTTACATATATTACGGGGAAAATAAGATAAAGTTTGTTTGTTTATAGTGATTTTTACGTATATTGGGGCTTTAAAGTACAGTTTGTTAAATTCATTTGAATTATGTAAGACTATTTCTTTTTCACGGAGGCTTAAAAAGATAATTTGTCAAATAATTTTAATCCATTCAACGTGTCGGCAATTTTCGATGCGTTCTGCCGCAAGTGTATTTTCGGTAATGAAGTTCCAGCCACACTTTCGTTTAAAGTTGATCGTATGGGCAGGTTGGTGGCGTTGAATTATCACACACACACACAATACCATAAAGCGCTCGCTATTATTATTACCAGTTCTTATGTGTCCATTGTCTTAGAAGTATTTTGCGCTGTAAAACATTGAATTTGTAGCTCTGATATTTTACTACACAAATAAGTATTTTAACTTTAAAAAATGTCAATCTGGAATGCTTTGATCCTTCGGGAAATAAAATGTAAAGCTTCATCTTCCCACATGACTGAATTCCATGCGAATGATTTTGGATTATATAAAAGACCGAAATTGTGATTTCAACACAGAATTAAGCACATGAATGATGACTAGGGTATGTAGACTGCCATCCCTACACATTTACACATTAGAGGGGAATATTCTTTTCACATAAAGCACATAAACGTCGTAGCGTTTCGGCTTGGAGATAACACGACCACTTCTTGACTTGAATGGAGAACTTGGAATGATTTTCGGAGGTCCTTGTGATTCCTTCGAGTTGGATACACCAGTGTTTTTCGCGTTAGTATGTGTGTAAAATAGAGTGTAGAAGAAGAAGGACGCAGATCGACGCTTCATATTTTTATTCCATTTAATAAAAAAAACCTACAAAGACAATACACAAAGAATTAAGCAGATATCACAGATATTACTAATCCTTACATGACGTACATGAAGTGCTCAGTGAATACATATTTCATATGTTATCACGCTAAAACTATTCAACAAAAACAAGAATAATAATCTATCTTTATAATGAATACTTTTATCATCATAAATATTTATCTTAGAATAGAAAATGCTTATACATTGTTACTATAATATCTATATATCATATTCATAATTGACTACAATCAGTAAAATACACATGTACCTACCCCAACTATGGGTCGGGGGTTTCACAGAAGAACTTCTGTATAAAAACTTCTTAATTTACGTATATGGATTATCTGTAAAAGATACATACCAACACATACAGATCATGTATGAACAACATTTGCAGACAATATGAACGTTTTCGCCAATACTAATATGATTCTAATAACTTTATAATCTTTACCAATAATTTCAATCCTTATCGCTAATTCCAATTAAGACATACTTTTTCCAAAATTCACAATAATAAATAATAATTCAAAATAACCAAATATATCATTAGATTATATGACAACTAAATGTTGTACATACCATATATATGATCTTCAGGAAGACTTCACAGAATAGTAAAAATTAGGAAGAACCGGACTGTGTGTAACACGTCCGCGCAGTTCCTCTACAAATGTCTCTCTAAAACCGCGCCAAAAGCTAACAAAGACACTGACCACTATACCAAAACGAGGTAACACCTATATATAGAACCATAGAATAAGTAAACAGGTTAGACAAGTGACAGGTACGAACATACACGTATACAGGTACACAGCCTAGCGACCATACGCAGTGCACATACACACGCA